AGTCTTGGGCGAGTCTTGGTTCAGCGTTGTGAGAGTCTTGGGGACTTTTCCCCAGGGCGCTGTGTCTGGTAGAGTGCTCGATTGACCGACTAAGACGAGAGTTGAAACGTATTTCGTTGTGTGTGTCTTATTTGACTGTAAAGTTAAAGTGACTTCCCCGATCCCGTACCTCAAGGGGACGAGATAGAGAGACGAGACGAGATTCCCCCCTGACAAGTGTGGAGAACCCCAATGAGAAGAGAATTTACCCCTGACAGAGTATTCAATATTTAACTTATATATTCATAAATCATGAAACTATAATATATTCATGTTCCTGTCAGCTTCTTTGCAATTTGCAACTTTTGGTTGTAATATTGTCTCGACAACACGACATGGTATTCGTAATTCAATGAATGGCGATTTCAAATAACACAAATATACTCGCATGCATTCAATATAAATCTATTTTAGCGTTTATTCCAATTAATACCTAGTAGACACTGGTGTATCTGGTGATCCTCACATGACGACATTTGATGGACGGAAATACAGTTTTCAGGGGCTATGCTGGTATACTCTATTCAAGGACTGTTCAAGTACAAATCCTGATTTTGAAGTTACAACTATGTTTGAGCCCAGGGAAGATAGTAGTTTTGAACATGTCAAGACGAGAACCGTGTCTATTAACATTACTGTTGGAAATGAATATGCTATCGTCAATGGACTTGATGTTGTTACAGTAAGTTGATAACAGATATTGCAATTTAGGTACAAAATGATTTAGTTATATTGTCAACAGTACGAGTATGACATATCCCACTATCAGCTATTGTCAGTCTGTATTGTTAATATACCCTCAACGTTTTCGTCTTAGACATCTTCCACAAGGAGTTGGACTAACTTGTTAGTTTTAGTGAAGAATTGAAATATAATCTCTTAATTCAATTCTTCCATTCTATTATAGCCTGTTTTCTATTTAGCTTGCCTAAGGCCGCCCATTTTGGATTGTTAAATGAACAATTTTAAAATTTTATTTCACATAGTAAAAACGTCATTACTTAGGAAGGTCTAAAGCTTCCTCTTTTCTTTGAGATTCAAATTTATTGCGTCAGTTTCCATCATGTCAGTGTTCGTTTCTCGTTGTTTCTGTGTTTATGTATATTAAACCTTACCGGAGCTCATCGAACCTATTTGAGTCGAGGATGGCGAGCACTAACGAACTGCCCAATTTGAAAAAGGATTTAGTTATTGAACTGTTGAACCAAAACTGGGCGACAGTGACGAGACGAAAAAAAAATTGACACTGTGCAACAAAGTCTCAGTTTTAAAGAAAAAAACAATGTTAATTATCACACAAATCGTTATATTAATTGAATTTCAATATCTTGGAAATATGATGACGGTCTTGACACCATGGGAGATACTACTAGTATCCTTAGAATAGGTGTGTGTTACCGATACTTCCAGATAGTACTGTACTTTAGAACTGACACGTTCAACTGCTGAAACTACTACATGTATATAACAAAATGACGACCAACACATTGACCTTGATGTGGTACAGACTTTACAACTTCTGTTAGCACTTCAAATTGGTACGTAATAACTACCTTACTGCCAATATCACTCTTAAACATATCTTTAATTCCACGTGTCTGAACTCACGTACAGTCTCGTGTGACATGTGCGAGACCTACCGATTCGAATTGTTTTTCTACATTTTAATAACAGCTAAATCAGTGGACAGGCCTTTAATTAATGTTATTGTCTAATAAACAGGGAAAAACCGAAGGACATGGAACCGCAGCACAAGCAATCAATGTTCAGCATGAAGATAAAAAGATCAAGCTGAGTTTTATCTCCAAGGATACCAAGTTTACTGTGAATTGGACAGTCAAGAAGCACATCTTGAATGTTTCCTTTTCTGGGAATGCCTACAACAATAAACTTTGTGGGCTGCTGGGAAATGCTGATGGTGATACTCGTAATGACTTCCAAACACCAGATGGCGCTGTTATACGCGATGCTGTTGAGTTTGGGGAAAGCTGGAAAGTGAAGGGAAAGGAGTAAGTCAGTTGTATGTGTAATTTAAACTACTAGTATGCATATTTCTGGTGGTTCTGCAACTGTTCTTCCAGAGTAATGCTTAATTGATTTACTGTATATGTGGTGTTTAAAAACAGATAATGTCTTCAAAATGAAATTACTTTTTATAATTCAAAAATATCCAACTTTATAAGCACTTCTGAGTTACTAGTATATGGAAGGTTAATAGCATACATGTATTTGTTGTGTTCAAAGTTGTACTAATTACCAGTACACGTTTTTATAACATCTGTGGGAAATAGAAATTACATGATAAGTGTAATTCGTGTGTACATTATCGTTATTTTGGAAATTCGTTTATCTTGCAGATGTGACTAAGGCAATAGAAATTGTTCTGCGATTTTGAAAAGTTCAACTGGTAGCATGTAATTACTCACTGTAATGGACATGGATACAAGGAAGCAGATTTGGGTGGTGGTTATTATTAGAAGTAGAACACATCAGTCTATGGGGAGTAATGTCAGCAAATTGCGCTGCGTGCAATTCAGAAAACATTTTAGCACAATAAATAAAAGAATACCTCATTACCTTGTGTTGAGTCATAATGTTAATTAATATGAATATCACTATTAAAAGTATACAGTCAGTTGACTCGATGTGCTACATGTCAGCACAGCCACCATATCAACAAAGGTTTCTCCTTAGCTTGGGGTAAATACATTCCTGTGAAGAAAATTCTACAATCATACTATAAAACCTACACTAAAATGATAAAAATTATAACATAGAAAGCCAAATATACAGTGAATTGGAGAAAGGTCTGCCAAACATTGCAGTGAAATGAGAAAGGAGAACCATAGGTAACTGGTTGTACCTTTATAGTAGAAAGCTAGCTACACCACTGCTAGATCAAATATTATTCATAATCATGGCTTAAGATAATTACATTTTAAAGATTATATTTGTATAATTAGGGTATTATTAAGTAATGTAGTTTAAAAGTTACATTTCCATATTAATTACAAACTGCTGCAATACATGTAACAAACGTTGACTATTGGTATTGTAAATACATATTATATCACAATATTCCACTACAATAAATCTGTGTGTTTTAATCCAACAGTTCTCGTACATAAATATTATTTCCCCAAGTCGTGATTTACTAGTCGCCAAAGAACTTTCTATTCCAGTAACTTGTTTTTCTCCCAGATCTGGTGTATAGCACTGGCTGGAAACTTTCATTTCTACTGTCTGATGATTCACTATTAGAATCATTGTACAGTGGGTTCTCATTGTAGCTCTGAAAAAAGCTTAAGTTTTTAACATGTCATTCAATGTAAATACAACTGCTGAAGTAATAAGAATGGTTAACTGTGTTGCCTCAACAAATACCTAGACTGTGCATAAAATCTCAGCTACGTTTACTGTGGTATCATGAGGCTTGCATTGCACAAAAACTTGCGATCTTTTCAAGCATTATAAAGATTGTGTGCGGTTCATGATAAATCCTGAAATCAAGTGTAGAAGATAATTAACAACAATGACAATTATGTTTGACTTGATTATATACCACAATCTTCAGTGCAGTCATGGAAGGTACTAACTAGTACTAACTAGTACCTTCCAAGGTGCAGTCTAGCTTTAGTGATCAAATATATTAATTGTTATAATCATTGTTTAAGATGATAATAATAATCAGTGGTTGGTGTGAAATACAAAGTAGGAATGCGGCAAATGTTGAACACAAACTAGGGTGCCTGAAATTTAAGTGGCATTGTAACAACAGAGTAGCACCGTACTTCAGCAGATTGATGGGAGAAAGGATTAAAGCATAGAATGAACTACTTTCAATGTTTTTCTGTTGAGTGTCTTTTCTCAGTATATAGCCCCCACCACTCATATCACTGAGACGGTTGACCAAAAGGGTCAGTAGTGAACAGAAAATCATTCAGGCATTCATTCTCTAGTATGTCAACAAATAACCCAAAACTGGTTGTGCTAATTCTCTGGCGCATCATTGACACAACAGAAAATTGATTTGTTTTCTGCAAGATTTATCCGGCGCATATACATCTGTGTTTGTTTTGACTTTGGGCATAAAGGAAAATAAATATCACAGAGAAGCCACCTGAGCCCTGCCTGTATGTAGAGGGCACTGTTTTTCGGCAGCCTCTTGTATACAATTATACAAGAATCAAACACATTCAGAAAATTTGAAATATAGAAAAGGAATGCCATGAACTAACTATTATTGATCTCACCAACCTAAAATAATTTCCAAATCCAAAATTTATGAATCGCAACAAGCCCTTGACATATTTCAGTTGGATCTTGATGAACTATGTGGAAGTAGAAGACCATCAGAATGTTTAATACTCTTTTATAGATGTTCAAAAGAAATTCGATACTTTAATCAAGTTTTGACTTCAATTCACAATTTCTACACATATTCTATAGATATAGACAGAGGATTTTCATCCCACCATAGACTCTGGTCAGTCAAAATGACTATTTTGAACTGTAGGCATTAATCTGCGATTCAGCAAATGACAGAGAGAGAAATCTAGGTAAGAGGAAGCCCCATGACCTTAATATGCGGGTTGAAAACCCTCTGCCTAAATTCAGTACCTTCAGTTACCCACCATAGACTCCGGTCAGTCAAAGTGAGGGTTTCCGAGCAAAACAGAAAATAAATGATTACTTGAACAGATACAATTACTTATGACTACCACCCAGCTATGACCAGTGAAAAAACGGTCTCTTACTTTACCAGTGTTGTCCCATAGTAAAATCATACTGCTGATAGGGTGACAGGGTTGGCATGCCCAAGGAAGCCAGATCCAAAACCCAATTATGGGGGTAACTAGCATTCCTAAGAAGAGGCTGAAACAGTTCTGTGTGCGGGCATAGGCCGAAAGAGAGACCTGGGATCTCCAAGAAACACTGACGGGAGAAACAAATCTGTAGCAGAGACCGCTCTATCGCATTTGCAAAGGAATCCCTGTTGCTGTTCAAGCTAGGTCAACAATCCTAAGTAATGAATGGTAAAGACGTTTTGTGTTCTGCAGAAACTTCCCCAAGTACGTGTATGAGGGGGCACCTGACACAAGAGGTAATGAGTTTGTGATCACACAAACCTCATACGCTCATACTTGGTGTCTTTGTCGACCCTTTGCTGAGGACGCCAACCAGTCAAAAACCTCAAACACTGTCAAAGGGATCTACCTAGAAATGGAAATTGGGGAGGCTGCTTACCATGGCATAAACATGCGCTTGTTGCCCTGCCTCGACTCCCTAGTACGTCTCTCATAGCAATTCAAAGCTTGAACGGGCCATGGAAGCAACTCCTCCGGGCCGACAATATTGGTCAAACGGGGGATGCCGATTGGCTGTGGATCGTGCCCAGGCATTTGGTTCTTGGTGAGAAACCTGATTTGTGTCTTTAGCACAGCTTGGATGTTCATAAAGGTGGCACAACCATTCGAAAAGAACAGGGCCCCTAAATCAGAACGCTGCCTCCCAGAGGTGAGAGCTAGTAGGAAATGTCAAATATTTCAGTGGTGCTGATTCCAGCAGTTCAAAGCTGACAACACAACTGACAAGTCCCAATTGGGAAGTTCCCCAGATTGGGATATAGGCCTTTGATTATGGAAAGCAGTAAACACTCTTCTAATAATAGAACAATCAGCTAGTCTTGTCCCAATAGAGTTCTCAATGGTGGGTGACAAGGCTGACCTATAGCCACGATTGCTGCATAGGATAAATCTAACTCGTCAAACAAATGGATGAACAAATCAGCTACCTGGCCAACAGTAGGGTGAGTCAACCATATGCCTGCCACTTGTTGGCTGAGTTGTAGGCTGCATTGGAAGAACCCCTATTCATCCCGGCCAGAACATTGACAGCCCCTCAGATAAACCTTCCTGTCTGTGAGAGTCTACTAAGAGCCTCCATGCGTGTAAGTGGTACACTGCGGAACTCATTGGTAGTGTGCCATCTGGTCGGGACAGCAGATTCGTGGTGTCCGGAAGGTACTACCGGTGTCTCTAACTAACATTTCCAACAGTAGTGGAAACCAGGCCTTGGTTGGCCCATTGGGCATCATCAGCGTCAAGATGTAGGTGTGCTCCTGTGTACCCGGTGAATCAGCGGGAAAGGCATACGCATCCATATTGGCCCATGAGATTGATAATGCATCCAAGGCCCATGCTCCTGGAGTCGGCAGGAGTGTCATGTACGTCCGGAGCTTCGCATTCCGGGGTGTGGTGCATGGGTCTATCTTGGAACCGTCACACAGCCAAAACCTCCGGAATCGGAGTTGCTGCGAGAGGGTGAGTTGCTTGACTGTCCCGCACCCCTGGAGTGTGGTGTGCCTACATTGCATTAAAGGCACCAATGGGAAATTTGCTCCACCAGAGCTGACAGCAATGGGGATCTGTCCCCCCCCCCTCCTTGTTGAGATAGGAGACTACCACTGTGTGGAGCAAGACTCTGTGGTCCTGAACTATAGGTCAAAAGTGTATCAGTGCTAAGTGTACTGCTTACAGTTCGAGCCCATTGATATGGCGACCCTGAATCCAATGCAGGAGCCATATTCATTAGACTTGTTCTTCCATTAGTGCATTCCCCAACCTGTAAGGGAGGCATCGTTGTGGCGACCAGGGCAAGGCATCCCTCACTTGCTCCGAGAAAGTAACTCACCTCTCCAGTAGGTGTTGCAACAAAGTTTGTTGCACCGAGCGGCTGTGCAGTGCAGCTTAGGACACTACCCTGTGAACTGACGCCAACCCAATGATGCAATGATGTTCTTGGAGAGACACAAAAAGAACAGTGACTAGTCGCTCAGCTAGACTGTTTCTTGCTAAGCGACGAGCCTGCAATGGATGCCTCTGTGTCATGCTCCATACCCAGAAACACCAATTGACGTGTCGGGTGTGGATGGAACTTTTAGATTTACTAGAAAGCCTAATCGGCCAGCAAACCCTTGCTTGGTTGTGTAGTGCCCAGTCATCTAAGATAATGTGTACCGACGACTGATGCAGAACAAGCAGCACCTGTTTCAACATACGTATGAGGCTGTGCATAACCCAAAGGGGGCACCCAGAATTTGAATACTTTACCCAAATGGGCAAATCGAAGGAGTCAATAACTTGCTGGGTGCATCGGTATGTGCAGGCTAACCAATCAAAATGATGCTTGGAGTCCCCGTGCAGAACTTATCAAGGAGCATATACTGATTTAGCATGCTTAGACCCAGAACTAGATGACTGTTACCTGTAGCTTTTGGAACTACCAACATGTGCAAGTAGAAGCCCAGACTGACTGCCGGGTCTTGTACCCCGTGTATGGCGCCCTTTGTAAGCAAACTGTCTGAGAGAATTTCAATGAAAACTGGTAGATAATATCCTGTATATCAATGAAAACCTATTCAAATTAACTGCCCCTAGAGAAATATCAGCAATGTGCAACTTTTGTAATGCAGAAATTGAGTCGATCCTGCATCCCTTCTGTGAGTGTGATTATACTAGGGCATTTTGGGAAATCTTTAATTATAAATGGGGTATTCATATTGGCCTCAGATTGAGATCATTGTCAAACAAAGATATTCTTCTTGGAAATGAGGATTATTCAATATTACTAAACTTTCTAATAATTTGTAGGAAGCAACCCACTATTTTAAATTTGTTCGGTTGTGAATGTGTAAAATAGTCCTGTTTTCAAGTTTTTCCATTTTTATCATCTGGGAGTTTAGTGCAAGACCTGTATGTACGATGAAGGCAAGTTAACAATTAGCAATGCTTTAGGGGAATGGCTTTATAACACAATATCAACAGATACTTTTGTTACTGTGAAAGAATTTATCTTAATTTATTTGTTATATTTACAAATGAAACATTTTTAGTTTACAATAAAGTATTCAGAAATGCCATTGACATATTGACACATCAAACCACCCCTAGACACTTTCAGGGTATGGAACGGTGCTTAGGATGTAGTTAAAAATATATGCATGTGCTTCAGATACAATAATACAAACCAAAAACAGTTACCAAACACTATACCTACATACAAATAAGCATTTTTACATGGGATAATCTGCATACATTGATTATTTCTGACTACAAATTGATATCAATTAATATCTGCTACATACACGGTTTGATGGCACTTGGAATGAATTAGTAGAAAATATACAAAACTTGGACAAGATACATCATTATTTATATTCATTCATTAAAAATTTAATTACATGTATATGAAATGTATACACAACAATAAAACTGAACAATTGCAAAAAAGTTCAAGAAACTTTCTACACTGTATCATTTCTCTATATATAAGTATCATAAATAAAACAATTCAATTAACACCCATTATATCTGGCGCACCAGCACGTTTAATGGCACCTGTACGAAAGCGGTTCATAACAATTTCAATATCAGTGGGCTGTGCGGAGTCTAGTTGATCTTTCTCTGTGTTGAATCCACGAGATAAGTAATATATCAAAGGAGTCTTCTCAACCATTGGATCTATGATATTGATAGCCATGCGAACTTGAGGCATGGTTACTTCCCTGTAAGAAAATCAACATTATGATCTTGTCATTCAAGAATGAATTCTTTACTGTCAGATTTTGAAACTGGTTAGTTTTTTTATAAATGGTGATGAATGAAATGATGTTGTTGTTGTTGTGCATGAAAAATTCTATACACTTCAATGAGAAGAAGTACACTGCGAAATGTGAATAATTTCCAGTTCTAAAGTAGTTTACATTCAGAGAATGATGATCATATGTGACAAACAGCACAACGACCTACCCTTCAGTCCGACCAAGCTCTTTGATAATATCCTCAATATATTCGTTTCTTTCTTCTTGTTCTTGCTCACGAATGTTTCTAATGAAGGGTCCATTTCTACCTTCATCATCCTAGAAAGGAATAGTACATTGTATTACTGTTTTGAAAAAACATGTGGAAAGCCACTACAGTGTATACAAATTTATGTGTTGAGACATCTTACCCCTAAAAATTAATTACCCTCTTTTTGGACCTAACACAGTAATTAAGAGAAAAAAATCACAAGATACTTAAAAAACAAATTTTGAAAATGTCAGAGCACAAATATTACAACATAAAACAGGGGATTCAAATTCGTGATCATGGCAATCGTCTCACCACTACAGGCAGACATGCTACTTACCATGCCACACTCAATGCACCAAAAAATGAATGAACTACAGGAAACATCACCCTGCAGCGACTAGGTGGTAATGCACAAGTCGAATCTCAGACATCACAATCAAAGTATATAGCTATGTAGTCAAGGTTCAAATGTTCATATGTGCATATATGTTCTTAAATTCATCCAGATGTTTGACACTTCTGGTGGACATGAACTTAACTTAACTGAGTAGGTAATTCAGACAATGATATATACCGTACACGTGCAGGATATATTGCACGTTGACATCAGAGATTCAAATTGCACATTCCCATCTAGTCACAGTGAGTGCGCTTTCACAAAGCACTATTTCAAGCAGTGGGGGCAGTGCATTATAGTGTCTGTTTACAGTAACAACACACAATTGCTGTCATGAATTCAAATCTCACTCACTCACATGTTTATATGTCTGTAATATACCTTTAATTAATAATACTTACCTCCGTAAATAAATCCTGATAATTAATCATATTACTATCCTCTTCCAATTTCAACTCTGAGATAGCTGAATTGATCAGTACATTCATTCGCTCTTCTGATTTCAAAGGGAAGAATCCTTTTAAAATGCTCTCAAACTTTTCCTTTGGCAAGGCACCCTTTACAAAGAAAGTATTTTGACCATGAACAAGAGATTTAATACCTTGAGTATATATGTCATGATATAAGAATTAGTCACTAAGACTTTAATCCACACTAATCTACTAGCTCAATTCATACTGCACTGTAGCAGTCCTAGGAAAGGATTCAATTTAATTTAATTTAGAAGACACTCTCTATTGAAATTTGTAACACCAATAAAGTCACTTGTAAACCTAAATATTTGATAATCCAATTAAGGATGCGGTAGAGTTATCATGCTCTAAAAAGTAAAAACTGTTTTCATGAGGAAAAGTGTTTTGAAGCATAGCAAATTATATATTTTCTTGAAGCCCTTGTTCCTGGCTTTTTGAAAAAAGTTATCTGTGACATGTACCACGAATTAGTCACGTGATTACTAAGTAAACATAGAGGTGTTATTTTGAATAAAAATGAGTTTTGTATAAAAACCGTAGGGGTTTTGTAAAAAAAGAAAGCTGAAAAATCAAGGCAGCATCAGCCCCGTCAATGCCTCGAGAGTGTTAGAACATAGATTGCATATTTGTTTACAATGACATCAATTTACATATTTCCTGTTATTTCACCCATAGACAAGGAATTTAAAAGCCTTTTATTTTTTATTGCGAGAAGTTATCAAAAAATGCTTCATGGGTTATTTTCTGTTCCTCCAAAAAGAAGCGAAGTTGTTACAGTACACGGCGGCCCCGTGTAACCATGATAACATTGAACAGTTAGAGAGATAAATGACGTCATCTCATTATATATTCAAATTATGTTTAAATGCGAAAAGTGGTCTGTATAACAAACGCTTGCCTAGTAACCGGAAAAAGAGGTCGACATGCCTAAACGCCAACCCCTAGTGCGAGTTAACTCAACAACATCCGATGTTTTGTCTTGTTCTAGCAGACACTCGACTTCCACCGCAACTTCGGAAACGGCGTCCTTGTACGGAATTTTGTCGATGGATGGTGGCAATCCCATATAAGACACTAGTTTTTTCAAACCTCGCCGACCAATACAGATTTTCGGTTGATATTAAATTGTCTGCCCGACTTTTTGGAAGATGGAAATTGATCATGTTTGCTGACGAAATTTTACCCTCTTGGTTTGAATACTCAAACTTGAAGTGTGAACCCCATTGTACTTTTGGCAATGCGTTTCTGTTATAGGTAAAGTTTTGCTTCCTCTGAACTGCGTTTTGAGTTTTTCTTTGGGGCCTCTTTTTTGTGATTGATCAATAACCAGGAGCCGGAGTTGATATGATCGCGTCATATTCAGTGTGCACTGTTTCCGTCCTGAAGGGATTATGCAAATTACGCAATAAGTCAATGTTATTGTTCACGTCCAGACTTTTATCTCAAAAACAAATTGTACAGTATCCCGTTATACAAGTAGTTTTTCTTATTTTTTTTTTTTAAAAAAAGGGTATTATAGATGTGTTTCAGTTTTAATTTTGAAAAAATTATAAGCCCAATAACTTTACAAAAGTAATAACAAAAAAAGCAAAATTCACAAAAATAACTTTACCGCATCCTTAAAAGATTTAATTATTCAAAGAAACATCGTACAGCACACATGCTAACTTCTATTGTATGTATCCTTACTGTATTGCCAGCGTCAGCATCAGCTTTTGTCAATACTTGCATTAATTTAGCCAACGTCTGCATTTGATCATGGTACACTTCCTCATCAATCTAATAAACAACAACAAAATTGTATCAGATTACTTTGTGTGTAAATTCATACATTTATCACATTTATCATAAAGGGAAATGTTACATTACCTCTTCATTTAGTATACCATAGAACAATCCAATTCGGTCATCTTCTTGAAATCTCTTAGCAGCATCCTGTAAATTATATCCCCATTCCACCACTACATCTCCAATTGCAAAGCGACGTAATATATAATCGTACAGGAAATCACACATTCTGCTTCTCTTGTTCTCATTTTTCTGCAATAAAGAATTACAGAGTACTTAACAAAAGTAAAATACAAATATGATTTATTATTATACATCTAGCATAGAAAGCAATAGAATTTGCAATTCTGTAAAAAGCTGTACCAGCACTCATTTGAACATTTCAATTTTTCCTTATAAGATAAGGGGTAATCTATGTCACCAGCATTGACACTTTCCGTTTTTCATTGGCAATGAATTATTTCTATGTGTCAGTCAATATGATCACCATCCTGCCTTTGTACATACTTTGCAGTATCCTTGTCATAATACATTACGTGTAAGTTTCACTAGAATTTATTGCATGATGCTCCAAGTATGAGTAATATTGGCAACAATGTTCTCAAACTGACAGAGTTTATGAAATCGAGTCACCCAACAGCAACCATGTATGACCACATGTTCACCTTCATCATAAGAAACAGGGTAGAATAAAACAACATATCAATGCAGAGAACTTCTAAAAGTAAATAAGTCGCAGTGTTAATTGTTGTACTGACCTCTGCATCATATGTAACCTTTTCTCTCCATATATCTTTAATCAGCAATACTGTGTCTCTTTTACCAAGTTTTCTATTCTTTACTTTCCCCTCATGCCTCAAGTATTTAGGAATCTCTTCTCCAAGTCCCTACAATCAAATATATTTCACAACAAAGTATAACATGATTAATTATTTCCTGTTTTATTTATTCTGTTTCTCTAATAGCTAAAAGCATTAAACGTAACCAAGGAAATATGCAAAGATAACCATAGATAACTAAAATTAAACTGAGTGCATAGTTCTCCTTCTACAGTAAATATTACACGCTAATCAACTTTGACCTAAAATTAAAAGCTGTATTCTTGTATATAATTTTTTGGAAGTTCTTTTTGATGTATGATGTTTTTGTGTCATATAGCTAATGTAACAGATGATGTATTCAAAAGATGTCCAGGTCTGTAGCTTCTCATCAATTGTTACCGACCATACCGGGAGATTCTTATACCAAGGTTTCATATATTGTTGTTAGTTGGTTTAAAGAGAAAATATATCTGACTACAAACAAAAGACCAAATGAATATATTTTATAAATACATAATAAATAAGTTGATCACATACTTGTCCTTCAAAATCATCCCCACTGCCATCAAGATCACCACCAACTATCTCTGAAAGCAGTACATCTACCAACTCATCACTGGTTTTACCTTCTGACAACTTTTTCCATCTATCTTCACCACCTTCAATGTGATTCACACATTTCTCCCAATATGGCCTTAAGAAATAAAAAAAAAAAAATGTAAGTATTTACACCAAGTTATTAAAGGTATAATGCAAAAACATGTTTCAAACAGGATCTGAATTCAGCATTAAATCACAGAACATATTTAAAATATATTTGAAAATGTAACAAATGTACGTTTGACACAAGCAATCAAGTAAATATTTTGTTGGAAAACTGAGTTTTACAATTCAAAGGTAAATTAATTTTAATACTTGTTGCTTAGAAAGCAAATGCATTTATAACACTTTGTTTTTGCATTTCAGCTGATTCTGAATATGTTTGTTAAAACTGTAAACATTAACCCTGTTAATTCCTGGGGGTTTTTTTGACTGATGTTTTAGTAAACAAATGAGCATACAAGTAACTGGTCATTACCAGCCAAAATGCAGTCTGGGTAATGGTGATGTTATCAGGCAGGGAGGACCCCCTTAGCACATGCGTCATGACAAAAAAAGAAAAAAAAAAGAATTTTTCAAAATAACAAGTTCCAGAGAGAACTCTCTGAACAGAACATGTAATGAACATCTTTCAAATAAGTGGAACAAAGAATAACTTGAACTTTTGTTAATAATGTGAACTTGACCCCCTAATATTACTATACATGTACTAACCTTGGAGTGGCTGATCTCTTCAATTGTTCTAATTCTTGATAAAACTGATCTCTTTGTGCAAGCACTTGTTTATGGACTTCAAGCAATGTGCTGTTGAGCAATATAAATTCGTGTCAATGAAATCTACAGTCACAAAACCAAAACACTGTGAAAAAATAATCAGTATTGTCATGATTAATACTCACTCATGTTCCATCATCAATTTCTTATGATCATCCTGCATTGTTTGCATCTCTTCCTGGAAATTCTGAAAAAAAACCATTATCTAAACATTACAAGAAATATACAATCATGTGAAACACATCAAAATCAACATGTTCTGGTCAGATAAAAATCTTTGAGTACTGTATACCTTTCCCTTCACTTGCATTATGGGCTAGGTAAAAATTAATCAATTGGTAAGAGGGACTTGAGTTTGCTCAAACTAGACAAATCAAATTGTTTAATATCTATTTAGCTTATTCTACTATAGGAAATTCAACACAACACAAAAACTATGAATAATGGACTCAAAGACAGATTTTAAGGGCATCCAACTGAAATTTGTTTCACATATGAAAAGGGGAAATTGGGAAGAAACAATACTGAGTAGGGGAGAAAACAAGCTCTACACAGAAAAAAATCATATGCCTATGGCTGGATACAGAACACAACTTTACAATGATGATTTTTGTACAGCCAATGACAATCTAGTCAAACAATTTCTTAACAGTGCCAAGGATGTAGTACAAAGTCCGTTTTTTCTCAAGAAATGGCATACCAAAATGAATACATGTAGTTAAGAATATACTAATAAATCTTCTAAATGGACATTCAATACAATGGTTTTTTGAGCACTTAGTGTGAGCGAAGCATTCGCAACCACACATTTTTGTTAGCCCTTGCTAAGGATTTAGATGGAGTACGGTTTTAAGTGTTCGTGCACGTTTTCTTTAGCACTTGCTAACGTTTTTGACCTCTTAGCCTGTGCATAAGAAGATGTGTGCAAATGCAACTTTAGACTTAAACCTGAAACACCGTTTGTCCATTTTTTTTTACTTTTCATTTGATCTAATTTCCTGTTTTTGTATTTGTTCTATATTCTAACATCTAATCCAATTTTTGTTGATGTTATGTAATGTTACATTTAATTTGTAATTTATGCAGCTCTCATTTATTTAATTTTTAAATCCCAGATTCAAAAGGGTTGCACAAAAAAAAAAAAAATAAATAAATAAATAAATAAATAAATAAATAAATAAATAAATAAATAAATAAATAAATAAATAATAATAAATAAATAAATAAATAAATAAATAATAATAATAAATAAATAAATAATAAAGAACATAAGAGGTTTCTGACTGGCTCTAAACTGTAAAGCTCTGTAAAAAAAAATTCTGTAAATTTACTTACATTATATGATTTTTCTAAAGCTTCAAGTCTCTTCTTGGTATTACATCCTCCATAGTTTGCAATCATTTCATTGAGTCTT